GAGACTCAGCATTGTGAGATAATCAACAGGATTTGTTCCTTAATGATATTCCAACAGCAAGAGACTAGCAATGATATATACAAAGAACTTCAACTTAATAGTGAACTATTGCAGTGTTGTCAGCCTCTGATCATGTCAGCCTTTGATCATGTCAGCCTTTGATCATGTCAGTCTCAAACGTGTCAGCCTCAAACGTATCTGCCTCAAACGTGTCAGCCTCAAACGTGTCAGCCTCAAACGTGTCAGCCTCGTTCATGCCAGCCTCATTCATGTCAGGCTCATTCATGCCAGCCTCATTCATGCCAGCCTCATTCATGTCAGCCTCATTCATGTCAGCCTCATTCATGTCAGCCTCATTCATGCCAGCCTCATTCATGCCAGCCTCATTCATGCCAGCCTCATTCATGCCAGCCTCATTCATGCCAGCCTCATTCATGCCAGCCTCATTCATGCCAGCCTCATTCATGCCAGCCTCATTCATGTCAGTTTCATTCATGTCAGTCTCATTCATGTCAGCCTCAATTGCCATGGAAGCGTGTCTCCCTACCTACCTCTGTTCAATTCCCTCTCGAAGACAGACAGACGGGTCTGTTATGTATGATGGGGGAAGAATAAACTAATCCCCAAAATAGCCTTGTGATCATTGAGGCGTTTGACTATGACATCAGGTGCAGATAGGCTGACCTATGACGTCACTGTTGGTAAGAACCATTATGACTGCTATGAGGCCTTTGTGGTAACCACTTCTGATTGCTCAATCCGCTATCAATATGACTTCGTCATGTAAATAACTAGACTAAAATTACTAAATACAATACTACAACAGACGCTACAACAGACCGTTCCCACAGCCCAAGAACACATGTTTTCAAGAAGCTTCTCAAATAACATTCGGTATCATTCCTTACCCGTTACCAAGACACTTACCCGTTACCAAGACACTTACCCGTCACCAAGACACTTACCCGTCACCAAGACACTTACCCGCCACCAAGACACTTACCCGCCACCAAGACACTTACCCGCCACCAAGACACTTACCCGTCACCAAGACACTTACCCGTCACCAAGACACTTACCCGCCACCAAGACACTTACCCGTCACCAAGACACTTACCCGTCACCAAGACACTTACCCGTCACCAAGACACTTACCCGTTACCAAGACACTTACCCGTCACCAAGACACTTACCCGCCACCAAGACACTTACCCGTCACCAAGACACTTACCCGTCACCAAGACACTTACCCGTCACCAAGACACTTACCCGTCACCAAGACACTTACCCGTCACCAAGACACTTACCCGTCACCAAGACACTTACCCGTCACCAAGACACTTACCCGTCACCAAGACACTTAACGCAAACACAAGTGTATCCAGGACGGCCCATAGCATCTGTGCTCTCCTATCAACCTCAAATACTTAACATTTACAAATAATACGAGGTAACTAGTACCGACAAATGCATACACGTATGGAACGTATGAGAAACATTGTTGTCAGTCACCAGGAGCCTCTTAATTGAAGAAAGGTTCCTGGTGAGCGAAACGTCTTCTAAATAAATGTTCCCAATACGTTGTATATGTTTTTTTATGCACTTAATATTACCACACACACTTGGTCAATTTTCCAGGTAACTATTTCCAGCATTTACCTCACAACAACATTGCTGTGGCCTAAATGACCTTCCTGGACTGTTTTTTTTTAACAGTTTCAGGTAATTCCTGGCTTTATGGACCAAGTCTTAAGTGATCTTTCATGACGCGTGGTTCTTATAATGTTAAGTAATCTGGAACGATGCTGGCCCAGGATCTTCCTAGAATGGATTCAGTGTCTGGTCATTTTGTATGGTCTGGACCAGGACTAGACTGGTCTTATTAACCAGGTGGTTTGCCCAATGTCAGGTCATTCTGAAAGGTCAGCAACCCGGATTTAGACGACCCTAATAAACCCAAGCAACGTAGAAATTATTACACTGACCATTAACAGTAGAAATTATATCAAAATATTTTTTGAGTATAAATACGTTAAAATGTTTATATCATTATTTAATAAATAATTCTTGCAAGCGTAACATATCAAATATTATACGAGAATTGAAAAACGAAAAATAAATTATTTGAGGTCGTTAGGTGGCATTTTAATTACAGAAAATATTATTCAGAAATATGTTAACGCTGTTTGATTTTATTTTAAATCATTAATTAAAATTATACGTTTTAAACACGTTTAAAAACACAGTAAAATGCATTTCAGTATAAAAAGGCAATAAACACCCAAAGAATAGAAGTTTGTACGCAGTCTATACACATGACGTCTGGTCTCAGACCGAGCCGCAGGGGCGCTGACCCCCGGAACTCTCTCCAGGTAAACTCCAGGTAAAGATTATCGTATAAAACTTGCTTGAAGCAGACCAATAACTTCCGTAACTTAAAGTTGTGCTCCACGACGCTCGTGGCAAGAATTTCAACAACCAATAGCGTCTCCCATTGGCTGTGAAAATCTGTTATCTTTTTTTGAGATTCCGGATGTATTCTCTCGTTGTGTTACATCTCGTATACGAATGCAATCAACGAAATGTATTTGCGGAGGGTCAAATTATAGCTCCTGGCCTCGTTTCTTAAATTACTGGTTACTGGCCTTTTGGATCTTATCATACCTACACCTTCAACTGTGAAATGAATTTTCCAAGTCATTTGTCTCATTCCACATTCTATCTAAACGAAACTTTAAAAACTCTGAATTTTCTTTGTCTGTGATGTCTTCAATTTCCACTTGTGTTTCCTTACCTCTGGTCTTCTCAAACTAAATACTTAATTACTATTTTCTCTGTCAAATTCTTAAAAATTCTAGACATCTGATAAATTCTAGACGACTGACCTAACAAGTGACGTGTATAGAGTTTTGAGATATTTGATTATGCTGAAGTTTCACAATTTGCGTGTACCTCTAGCCATATATATTATATTTATATATATATATATATATATATATATATATATATATATATATATATATATATATATATATATATTATATATATATATATATATATATATAATGTCGTGCCGAATAGGCAGAACTTGCCATCTTGGCTTAAATAGCAACGCTCATCTTGCCATATAGGACAAGTGAAAATTTGTGTATGCAATAATTTCGCCAAAATCATTCTGAACCTAACGAAAAATATATATTTGATTGTGTTTGTTTAGTACTAAATTATTGTAAACGTATTTAAAATATATTTAGTTGCGTTAGGCTAAAATAAATTGCTCTTGTTATAATAAGGTTAGGTAAGTTTTCTAAGATTCTTTTGATGCAAAATTTAATTTTTTTACATCAATATTAATGAAAAAAATATATCTTTAAACGTATAAGAGAAAATTTTATAAGTGACTTAATTTTAAATGAGTTCTTGCTAATTGACCAGTTTTACATACTCGGCACGACATTATATATATATAAATATATATATATATATATATATATATATATATATATATATATATATATATATATATATATATATATATATAACGTAATATTTAAGGCCGGGTCTTCCTTGAGCCTAGCTCTGTCTTCTCTGGCTCAAGAGTATTAAATCACTACCAGACAGAAAAAAAGATATTTATTGAATCCCTTCTGATATGTTGTTTACTTATATTAAGAAGAGTAGCGGTTCTAGGGGTAACAGGTTAGGTTAGGTAAGAATTGTCAGTACACAGGTACACAGAATTGTCAGTACACAGGTACACAGGAGGCCTGGTCACAGACCGGGCCGCGGGGGCGTTGACCCCCGGAACTCTCTCCAGATAAACTCCAGGTAAACACAGGACAAGTGTTTCCTGATGCGGGTTTTAGTCATATAATTTCCCGCCACTAGAGCGTTTGGTCATTTGACCGAGGCCTTCGGCTGGCTTACTGGTGCACCATTATGGTTATAATTATATAGAGGCAATAGTTATGGCTTTCCATTCCTTACTCTCTCCCTTTCTAGAGACCCATTATTTTTACCGTTATTAAATGTCTTATTTTCTTCCAAGTATTCCTGGATCCACTAGAGCACTCAGCTTTTATTCCTGTCTTTTCTTCTAATTTCTAGACAAGGCTCTGTCATGGTATAGTGATGGAGAGACGTTATTACAGCCAAAATAGAGTTGGGTAACGATGTTACCAAAGGTTCCTGTCTATAATTACCAGCATTGTTTCCAGGTCTTTCGGACCCTATCGAATCAGCCCTTGTAAACGTCTAGATGGCTTTGCTTATTTATCAAGCTGAGACTGTGAAACTATTTCCTAATATCTCTGTAAAACCATTTCCTAATATCTCTGTCAAACCATTTCCCAATATCTCTAGCCCATCTTTCTTGAGACTCTCATTTCTAACAGTTTTTTTACCTATCTACTCTCTCTAATAATCTAAGTACCTTGTATGTTGTAAGTATGACTGCTTAGTCACACACTCTTCTAAGGTCGTCAAGCTAAGGACCTTTAGACACTCTTCTCAACTCAGTCCTCTTAATTCTGCAAATAATATTGATGCAAATCTCTGGACTTTCTCAAGTTTTCGAACATGCTTGTACAGGCGTGGGCTTAGTGATGCTTACTCAGTATGAGGCCTGATACACAGAGAGAGAGAGAGAGAGAGAGAGAGAGAGAGAGAGAGAATGTGTGTGTAACTGTTGTTCTGTTCCGTTTTGCGTTTCCATGCAAAATAATTAATATTGAGTGACTGATTCACCATTACTAATGTTACCTGTCTAATGTACTAAAAGAAAGTAACCTGCCTGGCAGGTGTGCGACACAGGGGACACGTCTTGCATGTACCACACACATTAGGGGTGTGCGCTACCGCTATGATCTTGTTAATAAATCTATCGAAGTGTTTCGTTATTCATATGTATTGTAGTTCGTAGTTCTTTTTATTGCGATACTCAGATGTGTCAAGCGTGGCAGGTGTACGGCTCACAGTGATTTTTCCCCCATCTATTGCAGTTGGTTTCCGAGGATCTCACAACACGAGGAAAATGAACTCGCTGGAGAAGTGCAACAACTTCATGCGTCAGTTCCGTGACGATGAGTCGCGCGAGCTTAAGAAACTCACCGCCAACCAGTTCATGGAAGTCTGGAGCCACTACGACGCTGACGGTGAGTTCTCCAAACCTCAGCTCCCTACAACAATATTTCTTCTTTAACTTTAAAGATAAGGCAGAGGTGCATATCATGCTCTTGTTTTGATAACGTTCCACTCAGTGGAGAGTTGAATCATGTCACTGACGTGATAAAGCTCTACGCAGAGCACAAACGATGCCATAACAAAAGCTTGTCCTGCCACTATTTCTGTTTCGCAATACCATCGGCACTGCTCCTCTTAATCCCTTTACTTTCTTAGTGTAAATAAGCTATAATCAGAGTACACCTATTAATAGACAGAGGGTCAAGCCTGCACCTCTCCTTGAGCCAGTGTTTACGACGAATGGGGTTTGTATATGGGGAAATATACACAAATAACCCGCACGTAAGAAATTGAAACTAATAGCAACGTTTCGGTCTGACTTGGACAATTAACTAGCCATTAACTGGTCCAAGTTGGACGGAAATGTAACTTAAACAACACACAAGCAACACACAAACGATACACAAATTACCCTTCTATGTGAGGGTAATTTGTGCATTGTTTAATTTACGGTATTGTGTCTTTTTGTTCTTAATGGGGAAAGTGTGTGGGGCGAGTGTGTGGGGAAGTGTTTGGTTAGTGTGTGAAAGTATGTGTGGATAAGTGCATGGAAAGTGTTGCTGTATATTACATGTTACTGTGACACGTCTGAGTGGTGCTCAACAAGTGTTACTGTGATACATTTGGGTGTTCAACAGGTGTTACAGCGACACATCTGAGTGTATTCATACAGTGTTCCTATTTAACACTTCCTTTTTGTAACTTGACGTTGAACAACGTCCATTTGCCTCTGGAATGCTCTGTGCTGAAGTAATTATTTCCATTTTTATTCTAGAAATTCCAGAATTCTCGGATTTTAGAACCTAATTAAGAGCAGTAATTAAGTTCCTTGCTTGTGGAATGTTTTTTGAAATACTATAATCTGTCTCTCCACTCTTGCTTTTAGGAGGTGAAGAACGAGGAAAGCGGATTTTGTTTTCTAATGAATGAATGGCGTGGAAGGTAGTATTATTGAGATCAATAACCTCAGGTACAAGGGAAGTGTGTTGCTGTACTGTGTCTGGTACATTGGATGTGTTGTGCTGTACTGTCTGGTACATTGGATGTGTTGTGCTGTACTGTGTCTGGTACATTGGATGTGTTGTGCTGTACTGTCTGGTACATTGGATGTGTTGTGCTGTACTGTCTGGTACATTGGATGTGTTGTGCTCTACTGTCTGGTACATTGGATGTGTTGTGCTGTACTGTGTCTGGTACATTGGATGTGTTGTGCTGTACTGTGTCTGGTACATTGGATGTGTTGTGCTGTACTGTGTCTGGTACATTGGATGTGTTGTGCTGTACTGTGTCTGGTACATTGGATGTGTTGTGCTGTACTGTGTCTGGTACATTGGATGTGTTGTGCTGTACTGTGTCTGGTACATTGGATGTGTTGTGCTGTACTGTCTGGTACATTGGATGTGTTGTGCTGTACTGTGTCTGGTACATTGGATGTGTTGTGCTGTACTGTCTGGTACATTGGATGTGTTGTGCTGTACTGTCTGGTACATTGGATGTGTTGTGCTGTACTGTCTGGTACATTGGATGTGTTGTGCTCTACTGTCTGGTACATTGGATGTGTTGTGCTGTACTGTGTCTGGTACATTGGATGTGTTGTGCTGTACTGTGTCTGGTACATTGGATGTGTTGTGCTGTACTGTGTCTGGTACATTGGATGTGTTGTGCTGTACTGTGTCTGGTACATTGGATGTGTTGTGCTGTACTGTCTGGTACATTGGATGTGTTGTGCTGTACTGTGTCTGGTACATTGGATGTGTTGTGCTGTACTGTCTGGTACATTGGATGTGTTGTGCTGTACTGTCTGGTACATTGGATGTGTTGTGCTGTACTGTCTGGTACATTGGATGTGTTGTGCTGTACTGTGTCTGGTACATTGGATGTGTTGTGCTGTACTGTGTCTGGTACATTGGATGTGTTGTGCTGTACTGTGTCTGGTACATTGGATGTGTTGTGCTGTACTGTGTCTGGTACATTGGATGTGTTGTGCTGTACTGTGTCTGGTACATTGGATGTGTTGTGCTGTACTGTGTCTGGTACATTGGATGTGTTGTGCTGTACTGTCTGGTACATTGGATGTGTTTGCTGTACTGTGTCTGGTACATTGGATGTGTTGTGCTGTACTGTCTGGTACATTGGATGTGTTGTGCTGTACTGTCTGGTACATTGGATGTGTTGTGCTCTACTGTCTGGTACATTGGATGTGTTGTGCTCTACTGTCTGGTACATTGGATGTGTTGTGCTGTACTGTGTCTGGTACATTGGATGTGTTGTGCTGTACTGTGTCTGGTACATTGGATGTGTTGTGCTGTACTGTGTCTGGTACATTGGATGTGTTGTGCTGTACTGTGTCTGGTACATTGGATGTGTTGTGCTGTACTGTGTCTGGTACATTGGGTGTGTTGTGCTGTACTGTGTCTGGTACATTGGATGTGTTGTGCTGTACTGTGTCTGGTACATTGGATGTGTTGTGCTGTACTGTGTTTGGTACAGAAGGTGTGTGTTGCTGTACTGTTTGGTGTACAGGATGTGTGTTGCTGTACTGTGTCTGGTACGCAGGCTGCGTGTTACTGTGTGTAATATCAGTGCTGAGGTTGTTAGCGTACTTCCTGATAAGGACTCGACCTCCTGATAGAGGAAGTTCTATTTACTGTAAGATGCGAGTAAAACACTGGTTACTAAAACTGTACAACTATTGGCATTCTTTTCTTTTCAGCAACTAAATGTTATTCTTTTGGTTCTGGTTCTCCCTTACTATGTACTAGCTAAATGATATCACCTCTAGTTCTCTAGCTTTAAATAGGTAATTTTCATTAGCTTGTCTGTTGATTTCGGGAAAGACATCCAGAGAAGTCAGACTATCAGGAGCTCTTTGGTTATCTGTCATAGGGATGCTATTCAGAAACTTTATCTAGTGATAAGAGAGACTATAGACATCTCTGTATTTGCTATTTATTGAAACAAATGTCTTGATGGCTACACACTGGCTCATCAGGTATAAGAGGACCAATGGAACCTGTATACGGTAGGTAAAACGACACAAGTGCAACTAATGCGATATTTTTTTTCGTGGCAACGTTTCCTTCTTCAGGAGCTTCGTCAAGCCGTTACTATTAGTTACACTTGTGTCCTTTTGCCCAACAAAATGTCGGTAATTCTACCAATATTACTGCAACCGGTATACGACTCAGACCCTATAAAAGGTGTTTATTAGTTAGGTTAACATCTTTATTATGCACTCCATACCCATCCTGTTGGCTGTAGTTAAAAGAATACAGAGGTACATAATAGATCCAGGGACTGGACCGCTAAGTTTTGATAGGTGAACAAATTACAGTGGTAATGAACTATTTACATGTTTTGTCCCGTCATAATCGTAATAAGTTATTTATGCAGACATTAAATTGATTGGTAGTAGGTTGGCAGACAGCAACCGCCCACGGAGGGACTACCGTCCTGCCAAGTGTGAAACAGAAACCTGTAACTGTTTTACATGACCGAAGGTTTGGTGTCTTTTTTCAGGTACTTCTTGCTACTTCTACTTACATTTAGGTCACACTACACATACATGTACAAGCATATACATAAATACCCTCTAGGTTTTCTTCTATTTTCTTACTAGTTCTTGTTCCTCTTTATTCCCGCTTATCTCCATGGGGAAGTGGAACAGAATTCTTCCTCCGTAAGCCATGCGTGTCGTAAGAGGAGACTAAAATGCCGGGAGCAAGGGGCTAGTAGCCCCTTCTCCCGTATAAACTACTAAAAACGAGAAAAAGTAAATCTATATAAAACTGGGATGTAATGCGGATAAGGAAGAAATGATTGCTAATGTTATGAATGATAAGAAGTTGGATGTACTAGCTCTAAGCGAAACAAAGCTGAAGGGGGAAGGCGAGTTTCAGTGGGGAGGAATAAATGGGATTAAGTCAGGATTATCTGAGAGAGTTAGAGCTAAGGAAGGGGTAGCAATAATGTTGAAGGATCAGTTATGGAAAGAGAAGAGGGAATATAAATGTATGAATTAAAGGATAATGTGGATAAAAATAAGGGTCGGATACGAAAAGTGGGTCATAATAAGTGTGTATGCACCTGGAGAAGAGATGAGTGTAGAGAGAGAGAGAGAGAGATTTCGGGAGATGTTAAGCGAGTGTGTAGGAACTTTTGAACCAAGTGAGAGAGTAATTGTGGTAGGGGACCTAAATGCTGAAGTAGGAGAAACGTTCAGAGAGGGTGTGGTAGGTAAGTTTGGGGTGCCAGGTGTAAATGATAATGGAGGCCCTTTGATTGAACTTTGTATAGAAAAGGGTTTGATTATAGGTAATGCATATTTTAAGAAAACAAAGGATAAGTATACAATATATGATATAGGGAGTAATGACAGTAATTTGTTGGACTACGTATTGGTAGATAAAAGGCTGTTGGATAAAATTCAGGATGTACATGTTTATACAGGGGCCATAGGTATCAGATCACTGTTTAGTTGTAGCTACACTGAGAGTAAAAGGTAGATGGGATACAAGGAAAATGGAAGCAGCAAGTAATAGAGTGGGGAAGGTTTATAAACTAAAGTAGGCAGTTAGGGTAAGATATAAAAAACTATTGGAGGACAGATGGGCTATTGAAAGTATAGGTAATGGAGTAGAAGATGGGGTAAGTTTAAAAATGTAGTGTTAGAGTGTTCAGCAAAAGTTTGTGGTTACAGGAAAGTGGGTGCGGGAGGGAAGAGGAGCGATTGGTGGAATGATGATGTAAAGAGAAAAAATTAGCATATGAGAGGTTTTTACAAAGTAGAAGTGATGCAAGGAGGGAGGAGTATATGGAGAGAAAAAGAGAGGTTAAGAGAGTGGTGAAGCAAGGTAAAAAGAGAGCAAATGAGAAACTTGGGAAGATGTTATCAACAAATTTTGTTGAAAAT